AAAAAACCTTACACAGGATGTGACATGCTCTATTATACTTAGATTCTGACTAATAAAAGACATACATTGTAAACATTCCGAAATAAATATATATTCTAAGAACCATAGATTTTTTTTAAACAAAGTATAAACAGTAAATCAGTAGAGGGGACAAAATGGAATTATGAATAAATTTTCAATTAATTTAAAGCAAATTAGAAAAGAGAGAAAGAGACAGAGAGAGACGAGATGAGAGGCAGAGAGACAGAGAAAAGACCAGAAGACAGACACTACACATACATAGTGGCCAGAAGGCTGACAGGGTTCAATCTAGCGCTATGCAGAATTATAACAATTTTGAATGATCTCATTGTATCAGTTAAAGAATGATTATCAGAGAAGGTAAAAATATAATACTTCTTATATAGTAAAAACTTTTAAATATGAAAACATATGTAGATTACAAGTAACAGGGTGAAAAAATAAACCAAAACAAAGTCAGTGGTTATATTACTATCAGATAAAATAAAATTAGTGTTTGTACTTCATAACACGTTACCTACCTAACAGTATTGATTTTAAATTCTATTATAAAAGAAAAATGATTAAAACCCTATGATAAAACAGTCATATTTAGAGGAGTCCATTAGATATGACAGGTAGAAATAGTATACTTAAATAGTTCTTCCTACTTCAAAAATATTATAAAAGAAAAACAATTAAAACTCTGTGGTGAAACATTCATATTTAGAGGAGTCTATTAGATATGATAGGTAAAAATAGCATCATATTTAAATAGTTCTTCCTACTTCAAAAATATGGACCATCTCAAGTCATCCTTACAAGATTCTTTCCAAAAACCAAATAGGATTACTGTTCACATTTCCTAGATAAACAAAACAAGTCAGACTGGACAAGCATCTTGCTTCAGAATAGACAGTCAGTAAGGACAATTCCTGGCAGGATCAGGATCTGAATTGCTGTGCGATTGTGTTCACAGAAAAGCAAACTTTTGAGTATTCCTCCTGTGAGCACAGTGTGCTCTCCACCTATAGGGGACATCAAAAACCAATCCACCGTCTGCTCCTAGCATTCTTTCCGCCCAAGTGAACATTGCTTCCTTTTTTCTAAATGCCTTGATTTTTGCCTGCCTTTTTCAAGATGGTAAGATATCACCTACATGGTGGCCCCAAGTGAGAGTCACTGTTAAAATAAGTTGAAGGCATTGCAGAAGGTTAGATGTCAAGGGGACCCAGAAGACCAGAAAATACAGAGTGTTTGTCAGTTTACTGAATGAGAGACAGAAGGAGCAACAGTCCAGCAACTTCCTAGGAATTCACAGCCTTTGATTTCCAAAAAGCACTCCTACCAGATCTGCAAATATCAGTGTATCACTTTCCCCCTTCCCTTCAAGTTCTTTGTTGATGAAACTCACACAGAGAGAAAACTTGCCTTCCCCTGAGTAGTCAAAGGCATCCTCTAGAAACAAGACACATTCTAACAGTTCACTCACAAGTTAATTACTTGTAGCAGGTCTATATACATTTTACTAAAGGAGCCACACAGAGGTAGGCAAAAGGCTGGTGGAAATTGCAGGATCTAAAACGCAGTGTTAATGGTAAGCAACACTGTTTTATAAAGGTTTCTACTGGAAATGCTCTCAGACTCTTGTTTTTCCACCACTCAGAAGCAGCACGGACTCCCAGTGTCTTGGTGATTCTCAGTGTCTCTTTTTACAGGATGGGAATTTAGCTGTGGCACCAGTGCTGACCTTGAGGACAACACATCCCAGTATTAAGCATCGTCCAACATTTACATATCAGGTGGTGTCTAATATTCTTCTCTGCTCCTCAGCTTCAGAGATGAAGGGCAGACTTCAGAGGAGGAGACCATTTTCGCTGTTTCCCACAAACAGGACACAGGTGTGCAGAGGTGCATGTGCTTCTCTTTGAGTATGAATTTGTAAACTCATAACCATTCAGTGAAAACTCGTGGATAGAAGGCCTTTGTACAGTACACATACAGTTCTGGGTTTGCTCCATTTAAAAACAGTATTTGTCCTTTTTCCCCTCTGTCACTAACATTTTGACTGACACAATCTTGAGACCCTGAAGGATTTTAGTGACATATTGCTTTGTTAAACTACAGACTGGTTAAAATAAAGCAGAAAACTAAATCAATGGACCTTACTTTGTCACTCAAAGTACAGTATAAAAACCATACTATTCCAAAAGCAGCCACTAAACTAAACTAAACAAACAAACAAACAAAGATCAAAACTATACAGTATAAAATATAATTTTGGGGGAAGTAAAAGACAATTTGTTTTTTAGGCTTTAAATTCACACTTTGGCATGGTCAAAGTGACAAATTATTTCCCTTTGCAAAGAGGATATGTCAGTACTTGCTACCTTTACAAGATTCTTTCATTTAGGCTGCCCCCACATGTTCCAAGGATGATATCAGTGGTTGTCCTGTGTACCAGAATCTTTTTCCCCATTTGAAATAAAGTGTGCATTTTTCAATCAGTACGAGAAAGGACACTGGATCTGTGGGCAGAACTTTGGCGGTGATTTAACTCTGGTACATGTTTTTCTGTGGATTTAAAAATCTAATTATTTGCTTTATTTAATTTCCTTTTGCTTTGGAGTTTTCATTATAGGAAGTGGAAATAATATCTGTCATAATTAGCTCAGGCATGTGATGATTAAATTATTTTATATATGGGATAATACTTGACCAAATATAAATCATAATATACAAACACTGGTTGCCCAAGTAAGTGAAATCAACTTTCCTTCTATAAGGGCAAACTACTCTATTAGAACTCACTATAGGACAGACCAATGATTATTTTTCTAATGGTTAGTTGTGTGACCTTAGCAAATTAAGCTTTTCTTAAAACAGATGCCTAAAGAGTTTTTACCTTTAACTTTTACCTTTTAGACCTCAAAATGAAAAATCCCCCAAAACTCCCCTTTAAATTTCTTTCTCTTTAAATTGGACTGCTAATCAGAAAATATATGGATTCCAAGTCTGCCATGCAACTAACAAGGAAACATCCAGTCTTGCCACAGACCAGTTCCCTGTTTTGAAGACATCACCTAGCTTTACTAACCAGTGTTACTAAGAAGTCTGCAATGTAACCCACATGATGTATTGCATATTTGAAAATTTTAAAGAATGCATTCTAACAACTGATAGAATCTTCAATACTTTTTTAAAATCCATCCTAATGCTTATAAAATGTATGAGTCCAATTAAAGTTTGAAATCAGTTTTCATAGAACATGGCCTAACATCTCAGTTTTCTTTAAGTGAAAATATTAAGGAAATCAAAAAGCCAACAGAAAAAAAGGCTTCAATAACTATATTATCAAATCCTTTTGTTTTCTCCATTCAACTATTGAACAGAATGTCTAAATTGTTTTACATTTTTAAAAGAGAAACAGTGATATATATTCAGCAATTTCATTTCATTAGATACTGGCAAGATTCAAATCTGGACAACCAGTATCTTGGCCAATAATAATTTGTATGTGTGGATTTTTTCCCTATCTTCTTGTAAACACTTCTGTAGACTATCTAGGCATCAGTTTTTTAAAAAATTTAATGTTTTGTATACTAGTTGTATGAGTAATAAATGATTTATACACATCAATTCAAATTTGAGTTTACTTTTTTTGCATATGTAAAAAGTAAATACCTATGGCTTTCAAGTAAATCTTATAGAAAGGGAATTATGGGTTTTTTAATTCAATGAAATGGAAGATATAGTGAATTTATCTCTTGTAATATGGATAAGAACAGTATGGATAAGAACAGTAACAAAAGTAATTATTATACTGATTTGGGGAAATTTGATTCTCTTGGTGCATAAGTAGTCATATTACAAAATTTAAAGTTTCACTATACACAGCATGGCATTTAGTTTGTTCTTTATATGGTCCTTTTTTTAGTCCTGTAACAGAGGTAATTTAAGAAGTTATCATTACAATGTGATTCTAATATTTTAGAAAGTGTCCTGATGTTTGAATACACTTAAATAATGTTTCAGCCAAATTGATCTAGAAAACTGGATTTAAAGTGAGTTATCTGTTCTCAAGGTGCCTCTCTGGAAGGTCGACTTCCAGAGTCTGACTTCACTATTTGTACCCTAATGACCACTGGCGTCAGGCAGAATAGATGGGGATAGAAAGGAAAGGTCTGATTTATTTGATTTTTGAACGCCTTATACTCATAACTACAAATCAATAGCTTTTTTAAAGTTTTGAAAGATTTAACTTTACTTCTTCGTGCATTGGGTCAGTATGGTCTTTTGACAGTGTCTGGCCTGGAGGCATTGGAGATTTTGCACTAAACAGCTGCTTCGGGCAATGCGCAGAAACCAGGAGTCTCCACGGAGCTTTGCTACCCTCCTGGGGAGAGTGGTGGCTGGGGCCTGGGAAAGGCTATCTCGTTACAGAATATAAATATGTCATGTCTCTAGATAACAGTCTCAGAGGCTTGGAAATGCAGTCTCTTACCTCCTCCGCAACCCCCACCTTTACTCCCACCCCAGTCTTGGATACTTGGCAACGCAATACTCTCTACATGTGGGCTCTAGCTTGTGGACTCAGCTCTTGCGGCTCTCCAAGAAACGGAGCTTACAGTGTTTATTCCGGTGCATGATAGTCTAGCTGGGAAGCTCCCCAGATGTCTGGAGGAAAGAGGAAATCCGAGGTGACTGGCAACAGGATCCACTCTTAAGGACCGGCCACAAATCAGTCTTAGCCTGCCCACAACAGACAGCATCCTCTGCTGCTCTGGATGTGAACTCGGCTCAGCGCCCAGCACTCAGAGCGCAAAGCCATCTGCCCAACCAGCTCCTCAGCCCCAATTTACTTCTGAAATTTATGGGGGAGGCGGGAGAGAAAACTCAGGTTCTTGAATTTTCAGAGAGGGAGAAAATGAAATAAAAGATGCAAAGAAACCAAGACTTTCTTCGCACCTGATAGCATCTAAGGGGGCTTCCTAACTTACCCCGCTAGGCTTCCCTAGGGCTGGGGTGAAACCCGGGAGCGCTCAGGGTCCGAGGAGTTAGCGGAGTAGCAGCCCTGCAAGGGTTAGAGGGGCTAGAATGAATGCAAGAGATGGAGCTCTTCCTTTGGGGTGCAGTTTAGGTTTCGCCAAGGATGGGGACTGGCTCCTTCTCACCTCTGCCACCCCTGCTCCACCCACCATCCACCACCCGGCGGGCCCGGTACCCCCGATACCGGGCTAGATAGCGGGCCAACTACAGATGCTGGGGAGAGCGGATATATTGCTTTAGTCCTGGTCGCCTACCTTGGAAATCATTCCCCCCCCCACCCCCACAAGGCGCGAAACCTCCCCAAAGCTGCACCCACAGAAAGTCCGACTCCTGGGGACCCTACTGGGCAGAGGCGACCTCAGCCTTGTAGCGATCTAAAGGCGGACTCTGGGGCTGTCACCCACTCGGGGCCGCCGGGATGCGCAGCCGTACCCAGCTTCACGCCCAGAGGGGCTGCTGACAGCGACCAGGATGGTCCGAGAGCCGCTCGCACAGCCGGGGCCAGTTTTCTGGGCCAGGGCGGCGACCACAGTCTCCTCCCTGTGAACCCCCCCACCTCCCGCGCAAAACCCAGAGCCCCAGGGCAAGTTTGCGAAGATTCGGAGCGCAGGAGGGAGTTTGAGGGGCGCTGAGCAGGGCCGAGGGGGCGAGTCTTACCTGGGTACCGACAGCCGCGAGTGGCCATCCATGGTCTGGGAAAGAGCGGAGCGCGCGCGCGAGGCTGGAGCTCCGGGAGGACCCGCTTCCCCGAGCGCGCAGCCACAAGGCGCGCGGGCTGCAGCCGGGGCCGCGGGGCTGCGCGGAGACCTCGGGGTCTGCTCCCGCCTGCTCCCTCCGATCCAGCAAGGGCGCTTCGCCGAGCTCTAGCCTTTCGGCCCCGGCTCAGCCTCCGTCCTGGGCGACCCAGTCTCCGCCACCGGAGGCTGCGCCCCGCGCCCAGGAGCAGCGAGGACTCGGACTGGGTGGCTCTGCCCGCCCCCGTCCCGCCCTCCCCGCCCCTCCTCTCGCGTCCCGCTGCGCTCAGCCGCGAAGTTGCTCGCCACCGTCCCGCACTCGCGCTCGCTCCCTGCAGTTCCCGCTCTCCCCGCTGGCCGCGCCCCATCCCTCTTTCATTTTTGTCTCTCTTCTACCATATTGGTTGGTGGCTTGGAACAATGTCGTCTTCCCAGATTCTTTCACCGAGCTCGTGTTCCTGGGTTGTAACCCCCGCCGCTGTCTCTCACCTGTTAGAATCTGTGCGGACTTAGAGGTCTGCAAAGCCAGGACAGCTGTCCTTCCTCTGAGGCTGCCTCCTTGCCTCCCTCACTCAGGTCCTAGGTGAGTGAGGAGCTGGCTCCCTGGACAAAAATGCCCAGGGTTTAAAGAAGAATGACAGGAACAGTACCAAACGCCTGTTAAGTGGACACAGTTCATTCTAACCTTTAAAAAAAAATTAAAGCAAAAACTACAAAGGAAAAGTATGGGACTTCCAGGAACGCGAGGATAAAATACAAGTATTTTTTACTATTGCTTTTCATAAGCTCAACTCAGATTTTGGAAATTGTACACTAAACATAGCACAAAGTGGGTCAGCAGCTTGCAGATGAGCCCAGACCGTGAGACTCAAGAAATGCCAAAGGAATGAATCTTGAGATTTTCTTTTTTTGCCTCTTCTACCCCAATCTTGGGCTGAAGATGCTGGCAAGCCAGAAATGTCAAAGGGCAGAGACAGAAGAAGACCCACTACAGTCTTGTTTCTCTGGTCGAATGGCCAGGCAATACCGCTGAGCAAGACAGAATGTGCATAGACAATAAGTGCTTCAATCTGTAGAACACTGCAAGAGAAAACCCAGACCGACTCTCACATAACCACCACAAGCTAGTTGGAAAGTCGCAGGTCATCACCTATGGTTCTAACAACCACGTTCACTCCCTGGGCCAGGTGGGGTCAAAGAAGGCTCATTAAAAACTAGAACTTTGTTCCCTATATGGGGAAGCACCACATCCACTTCCTGGGCCAAGTGGGGTCAAAAAAGGCTCATTAGAAACTTGGACTTTGTTCCTCTTAGGGGAAAGCTACATCTCAATTTCTGTGTTTCCTCTTCATGGCTTCTGTAGAGCCTGAATCACTACATCCACACAACACTGATGGTGTCTCCTACAAACAATATAGTGTAGCATAGTGGAGAGCCAGTACTTGTCAGGCAGAAGCAATCCTTCCTTTCTGCCTTAGTGCTAGTGCAGTCTTGGGGACAAACTCCACCATCACAGCTCTGATGAGGCCTCCACCACACTGCACTGGGGTAGTGTTAGAGGAGCCTCAGTTCAACAGTACTGGCTGCTCCCATCAGGTGTCCACAGAAGCCAAGTGGAATCCTAGACCTCTGCTTTCCCTGGAACCCAAGGCAGCTCCACAGGCGCAGAGTCAAGAGAAGCCAGCTAGAACTGATGTTTAAATATGGTTCACAATGCCCCACATGGGCAGATTTTAAAAGCAAGTGATTCAGCATGCTGAGAACCAAGAAGATTTCAAAGCAAGTGAAAAATAACACAGAACAATCACCAGATGCTAACTCTGAGACTTTAAACTGATCTTTCAAAGTTCTAAAGCAGTCATGATAAAAATTCAGTAGATTTCTCTTGTCCGTGGCTTTTACAGCCATGGATCCAACCAATCGCAGAAATGTTTGAAAAAATAAATTCTGTCTGTATTGAAATATACGAATTTTTCTTGTTAACATTCCCTAGCAATCTAATGACAACCTACACAGCATTTGCATACACTAAAATATATGAATGGATATGTATAAAGTCTATGCAAATACTGCTTCATTTTATGTGAGGGTCTTGAGCATGCTTGGGTTTTGGTATTGACTGAGGCCCGGACACCAATCTGGCATGGACACTGGGGGAGGACTATAATTCACTACACAAGGAAAGCTTGCCTGAGACAAACAGAAAGTCAGCAAACAAAAGCAAAAATAAATAAATAAAAGTGTTCCTGTAAGTATATTATATATTGCTGCTTATAGATTACAAAAGCCTCATGGAGATTTTAGAAGTGAATAACAGAGTAACCAAAGTAAAAGACACACTGTTTTACTCGTGGTGAAGAAACAGCCACTTATTTACAGGGAAACAACTGTTCAAATGCCAGCAGACTTTTCATCAGAAGTCATCAGTGACGTGGCATTTTTCACGTGATAGGGAAAAGAATTAGTGACACACACTCTGATATCCAATGAAAACACTCTGCAGAAATAAAATGGCATAAAATTCTAGAAGAACTTCCCTAAAAGAAGTTGTCTAGGCAAAAGCAACACCAGAGGACTCTTGTTATGTCAGGAAAGAAGAATATGGTAAGCAACAATATGATAAACATAACAGAATTTCCTTCTTGAGTTCTCCAAACTATACAAGTAAAAAATTGGAACATTTTCTCATGTGCTCCTAGGTGTAAATTAACATTTCAGATAATTGTGTTAGAAAAAGGAGGTGGAGATATAAAAGAAGAAAGCTTTTAAATACTTTGTTCAAACTGGTAAGTAGACAACAACAATAGGACTTAAGCTATGTTTCTATGTAGAAAATATGTAAAGAAATTAGTTTAAAATACTATACAATCAGGTATGTTCCAATACAGATACATCAAGCTATAAATAAAAATAATTTGTATGTAACCTGCAGTGAGGCAAAAAAAAAAAAAAGGAAAAAAAACATAGCTTTTGAGCTAAATGTAGTAAAAACAGACAATAGGTATAAATTTTTTTAAAAGACCCAATTGTAAGTTACCTCTAAGAAACTTTTCAGTTATATGCTATCTATAAGAAACTTTGCTAACCATATGGAAAGTTGAAAGTAAAAGCATGGAGAAAGATACGTAATCATTATCCAAAAGTATACACAAGTGGGTGATATCAGCTTTGGACACAGAGAGAGAGACAGACAGAGACAGAGAGACAGAGACAGAGAAAGAGAAAGAGAGAGAAACCCTAAATGCATATATACTACACAGAAGAGACTCATAGTATGTTATGAGCAAAATGGATAGAACTTAAAGGAGAGATACACAAATCCACAATTATGCCTGCAGATTTACCAACACTGATAAGATAACTAGGCAGAAAAACATCAAGAATATGGAAGGACTCAATAACACCATCAACTAATGGGGTCATTTATAGAACTAATGGACATTTATAGAACACTGCACCTAAAAATAGCAGGGACAGTTGAACTGTGTGGCACACTCATATAATGTGGGCTACTCCAAAAGCTGAGGCAGGGGGATCTAAAATTGGAGATTTAGGTTACTCCGTAAATAAGCAAATGATGGTAACAAAAAAGGTTGAGGATTTGACTTAGTGCAAGTCCCTGGGTGTGATCCTTAGTTCAAATAATGCATGCATTATAATACACACGTTTTCAAATGGACATGAAACACATAGCAAAGTGTGTTTTGAAGGTTAAAAGAAAAAGTTGATAAATTTAAAGTAGTTAAAATCATACACAATATGCCTACCAGCTCCAAGAGAATTTAAAAAAGAAATCAAAATCTGAAAGATAAGAGGAAAATATTCAAATACTGGAAACTAAATTAAATAATTCTAAATTAAACAATTCCAAATAATATATGGGTCAAAGGAGAAATATTGGAAATATATTTTATTATTATCAGTAGTAGTAGTAGTACCAGGGATTGAACCCACAATCTTGAGCTTGCCAGCCAGGCACTTGTGTTGCCGAGCTATACCCTCAGCTTGGAAAATTGTTTTAGAATACCTTAATTCAAAACAGATGAATATGCAACATCTTAAAATTTGTTGGATCAGTTAAGCAGCAATTTGTACTAAATGTATACAGTGGAAAAGGAGAAACCACTCAAATACTCTGAACAAGCCTGTATACGAATATTTGGTAGTTTAAAGGAATTAAAGTAATTTCTTTAAATGTACAAGCTACTAGTTACGGATTGAATGGTGCCCAACCCTCCATCGAAAAGTATTTGTTGAAATTATAACATACAGTACCTCAAAGTATGATTTTAAAATACAAGATCTTTGCAAAGATACTTTTTGTTATGTTTGATACTATTGTATATGAATTTATGCTCAACTATTTTAAAGAAAGAGACATTATGGTAGTTACTGTTAATTATGGGTTTCCTGTGGTGAAATACTGTGTTACTTACATTGCTCTGTTCTGATCTGCTTTGTTATGTCCTCTTTTGTCTTAATCTCTTTAAAATAAAAATAAAAAAATTTAAAAAAAGATCTTTGCAAAGTTAACCACAATAAGATGAAATATTGAAGTGAGCCTTAACTGAGTATGACTGGTATCCACCCAAGTGAAGGTGGATGGAACAGATTCATGGCAAATGTCCTGAACTAATGGAGGCAGAGAATTGGCTCCCATAAGCTAAGGAACAGGGTACCAGGAAGCTCCCTTCCAACAGGTTTCATAGAGAATATGACCTTGCTGTGACCTTCACTTGGACTTCTAGTCTTCACAGCTGTGGAAAAGCACATTTCTCTATTTTCTAATTACCTAGATTAAGGTACTTTCTTCAGGCAAGTTTTGGAAAGTAATATATTAATTTAACTAACTGATATAACTAACTTATATAAAAGAGCACTGTACCTATCAAAGAACATGAATCCATAACCAAAGATTATTCTTTTAAAAAAGAAATCTCCAGGCCAAGATGATTTCACAAGAGAGTTATATCAGGCATTTAAAGAAAAGTTAAGACCAATTTGACATAATCTTTTGCAGGATGTGAACACTTTCTGATGCATTTAATCAGGCTGGTGTGTCTTGAAACCTAAATCTGATTTTTTAAAAAAAGCTGCAGACTAACATTCCAGATGCAAAAGTCCTTCATTTATTTATTGTTTACTTATTTATTGCAAAAGTATTTCATAAAATATTAGCAAATAGAATTTATCAACATACAAAAGGAATTAATAGTTCTAAGT